GGGAGAAGGGAGGAGAGGGGGAGGGGAGCACGTGCTGCTTTAGCTTTTTTTAAAATAAAAAATATTTTTATTTTTTAAATAAATTCTTAAAATTACCAAAATGTGACATGTGTTACTTGACGATGATTTTTAATTGCGGTAACTTTCGGACACTTAAAAGTGTAATGGAGAAAACATTAGACACCTATATTTTTAGCTAAAAATTCTTTAGGTACTAAAATATTTTTTGAGTCATGGTTTAGGAACTCATTTTTGTATTTAGCCTTGATAGGAACATGGTTAACTACTTTAACGACCAATCGGTCTCCCTCCCTGAAACGACATGAAGTGTAACACCCCCAACCCATACCCGACCTGGATTCGAGTCCGAGGTGTCACATTGACTTTTCAAAACATTTACTTGTATAAAATAGTGAGTAATTTAAAACTTTTATACATGTAGCTTATTCAAAAGATTTCCAGAACTATTTAGAGCTTAAATGTTTTTGCAAAACCGTTCAGTGCATATACAATTCAGACATTTATTTACATGCCAACCATTTTCAATGTACAGTATACATCTAATTCAAAACATCTTTTCTGATCTGATCTTCGGTAAGAAGTAACTGACCTGTCTTGCTCCACATTGCTCTCTATATTCTTCTCGAACCTACGTGTGAAACAATCACACGCTAAGTCGATGACTTAGTGAGGCAAATAAAACATATAATAGAAATCATAAAAACATCCCATATAACAAAACACATGAACAATTAATACTAACTTATCATACAAAATCATATACCTTTTTATATAACAAAGACACTCATGTACATATATCATCATCTACTTTCTTAGCATTATCATATATATTATTATCATATATATTATTATCATTATCTCTATCATTATCATCGAATTATTTATCACATAATCTTGTACTTATCATTTCTGTATATCATATCACTCATATATCATTTCACCAAAAGCATATACATTATATATATTGTATTTATGTTATCTCTTTGATTAGCCCATGGTACACTTGTGAGAACTATCGATATGTGAGTCTATAGAGGTTGTGCACTAATGCTGTCACCACAGCTCGTATCATTGCACCGAAGTGCACGTAGAATTGCACCGTAGTGCCATATAATAATGTCCATAAGGACCACATATCATTCCTTAAGGACCACATATCATTCCATAAGGACCACATATCATTCCTTAAGGATCATATACATATACCAGGGATCAAGTATGTGTCTCACAAGACTTCACACATGTTCCAAAGAATATATATATATCCCAAAGGACCACGTAGACCCTCGACTCTTGGCATGCCAACTATACCCCTAGCTCTCATGACACATAACATGGGAATTATCATTTATTTCATTTCAAATATTCACATAAACATGTAATTCACTTTCACATATCATGTATCACATAGCTTCTTTTCATATTATCACATAGTTCACTTACACGTAGATCATTTCCATATAATTCACAGGTCACATATCTCATGCTCTTGTATTTATATAACATATAATCACATAGATTACTTTCACATCACATAATTCATAGTTATGATTTCATATACTTACCTAATTACAAAGCTAATTCACATATACCTGTTTTCATATAATTTCTATCATTTCTCACTCAATCACATTTATTCATGTAAACATACTTATCATATCTTGTTCACATATGATCATATACTTCCTATAACATATAGAAACACCTATAACACTTTCACATAGCTTATATCGTAGTTCTAAATATATATATCATTTAATAGTATTTTTATTTAGGTAATAATTTAATCTATTTATTTAATTCAATTTCATAATTTCATTATAATCTTTTCATATAGCTCCATAGATATTTAGCATATAACTTATCTTGCATATTCGTATCGTCCCTTTATATTCAAGTTTCCTAATTGATATATTATTCCCATTTCATTCTATAATTCAATCTTATTTAGTTCCCTTAACTCTCATTAAATCAAAATCTCTATTATACTAATTCCCATGATGGATCATATCACTATGTACTTGTCCAACTCATGTTTACCTAGTTCATATCACTTCTCATGAACTCACTCTCATATTTTCCTATTCTTACATCTTTTATCTCATAACCATGTATTCACATAGTCTTATATTTCATTATCATATTACTTATATTTGTTCTCCTATGACTCTTTATAAACATCTATTTCCATTTCCCTACATCTCTTGACTTATCTTCTATATTCATATAATTTCATAACTTATTTTATATTCTCTCATTAACACTTAACCGTATTTTTACATAAACCACATAGCACATACAAAACAAAACCTATCAATTCATATAATCAAACATACATACACTTCATATCGTTAACATACTTATAATCAAGACTTAATGAGCTATTACTATAGGAATAAACTTATCACAAGTCCAATTTCCATATAATCTTATACAATAAGATGCACTCACCTGGGCCTCGTTGTTTGAATCAATCCTAATCCTTAGTTTGTTCCGGAACAAGCTTTTATTCTATATCTACATAATAATACATTAATACTTATCAGTATACTGATTGATATATTCGAAACTATCACTCCTTAGGCTCAGAGAAAAGCCAATTTCATCTTTTAATGAAGGTATGCATCGATGCACTACTGATGCATCGATGTATAAAATGCATTCAATGTTGTATTATTATTGGGATGCATCGATGCATGCCTTATGCATCGATGCACTAATTGCATTCGATGTTTCTATTTTAAAAGAGTGCATCGATGCATTACCAATGCATCGATACACCTTCAAATAATTTATGGGTTTTAACCTTGATGCATCGATGCACTATGAATGTGCATCGATGCACTCTGCCCAGAATCCTCTTTTATGCCCGAAAATCCACTCTTTTCAGTTTATTACTTCATATATCATCCCCTTTCTTATTTTTAACTTACATACTCATATTCAAACTCATTCCTATTCATTAATCACCTCTTTAACATCAAAATCCTATTCTCCATATGAAATTCAAGAATTACACTAAATTTTCAACATGTTCCAAATTCAATTCTATTGCTTCTAGCTTCTTAATTATACCCTTGACAAGTCAAATCCATCTTCAAAATCTATTTACTCCTTTTATTTCAATAATTCTCTTAAAAACTCTTCATATTTAATCCTCCCTAACTCATCCATTTTGAAGTTTCAACATACTTTAATATCTAAATAATCTTTCTTAGCACCCCAAGAATCAAAACTAAGCTTTTTCTTTTCTTATCACCCTTCCACGTGTTTTATAACCCTAAAAGAAAGATAAAAATCTTTCTGGTCAAATGACCAATTTACCCTTTATTTCCTTTAATAATTACTAAATAACCTTCATCATATTTCCAATAAATCATTGAACTATTCAATTATCCTACTTTAATCACCAATTTCTGAAACTTTATAATTTGGTCACTAACCCGGTATTAAGGATGTTACATGAAGCCCAGGGAACTTCCCATTAAATGCAACAATGCTTTTTGTACGGTACAACCACGTGATATTCTTCATCCTAATCTTTAAAAACGAAAAGGCTTAACACAAAAATAAATGTCTAAATTATGTCTCGAAAAACGTTTAAGTGATTAAAAATTTTTCGTTAAAAATAGGTACTTAAAGTTTTCTATGTTACACTTTTAGGTGCCCCACCGTTAAAAAAATCGTTAAGTGACTCGTGTCACATTTATATTTTTTTATTTTAAAAAATAAAATATTATTTTATTTTAAAAAATAAAATATTATTTAAAAATATTTTAAAAAAGTTTGGACGTGATACGTGTCATTTAACGGTTATTTTTAACGGTAGGCGCCTATAAGTGTAACGGAAAAAACTTTAGACACCTATTTTTAACGAAAAATTCTATAGGCACCAAAAGTTAATTTTGAGTATAATTTAGCACTTATTTTTATATTAAGCCAAAAGAAAAACACCCGGAAAAAAATCATCTTGAGAACTGTTAATTATTCACTTTCAGTTCACGAGAAGTAATCTTAGACAATGCAAAGAAAAGCAACTGCAATTGCAGCAGCATACGCTGAACTTGTTGTGTCTGGTAACGCCGCCATGGTTTGCAGTGACAACCTCAGGAACCACGATGAAACAGCCAACGAATAAGGTTTGCATTACCACGGCTGAGAACAAACCTGAAAACCCCATGTTGAAAACCAAGTTCTTGTTATGTTCTTTAATCTTTTGAAGCTTAGGGTTTGCAGTATTTTCTGTTCATGGAAAAACAAGGAGAAACGTGAATGCATAAATAGCTAAGGACACGAGTGCAGTGTCTGTATCTGCGTGTTCTTGTTTGGTTGATCCGGTAATACGATGATTGATCTGAAAGCAGAAAATTACTAAACGTTGGCCCTAGTTTTCTTCATTGTCGAGTATCACTATAGTGTGTTAATCGATGTGGTGGTTCATGTTAAATCCGTCGAGCTTATCTTTATACGCAAATTTACACCACTTGCCTAAAAACAGCTGTAGTAATCGAAATTACTGAACATGTAATACAACTATTTTTTCATGATTTAATTTTAACTAATAAGTCTCGTCTTACCAAACACATTTTTTTTATATAAGGAATCATTTCGATCGAATCGTGTCTACTTTACTTACTACACAGAATGCGTATAGTATTAATGCATGGAGATTTCTTCATGTTTATGTTCTTTTTTCCAGTGTTGATCATAACGGAGAAAATAAGCGGAGATTGTGGAGCGTCCAAGTATTCAGGTGCTGACATATTGAAAAGCACGTGTTGGATGCCTAAAATACGACAAAATAATCATTCGTATGACAAATCATAATCATCATTCATCATCATCTGAATTTAACATCTATAAGGTCTTCAAAATACATAAAACAAAACTTTTTAAAATTTGGAAAGATAACACATCCGACAACTGATCCCAAGTAAAATGTACAAGGCTATGCATGATGAAACTCTACAGAGTTTCTTTCATGGAGTCAACTATAGATAACATACCGATCCTAGAGTAGAGTCAGATCCCGGAAAATGTTACTTTAATGTAACTGTGTATATTTACTTTGATGCATACATAATACACGGATTGTATTATGAGGCAGAGTTGAGTTAAACCATGTCTGAATCATCTGATTCACTCCCCCTGTTTTCCTGCCATCCTGACCCCATTCTAAATTTACATACTGGACACGTGCCTTGTTGCCGCAGCCATGGATCAATACAGATGGTATGGAACTGCAAGAAGAAAATGTTATTCATGCATCAAATTTCCTATTACCAAAATGGCATTACGATGACCACCATTTACAACCTGGAATTATGGGACAACTGGATTTAGGATTTAACTATAAGCATCTCAACCAAGGACCAGGCATGAAGAATTCAAATATGCAAAATTATATGTAAAGGGCAGATTTCAACTAACAACGGTACAACATCCATTTCCAAATGTCAGCAATCGGTAGCTGCATGTAACACTGAAACATTCTCACATGTACCCCATTATAGCTCTATTGCCATTAGATTTTGGTTGGTTGGTGCAATGCATCGCATAAAAGATTATAACAGAAGAAATTTGGAGAAACAGTGTAAAATTTTGATAAATGCACAGTAAAAGTATTAGATGACAAAAGAGAACATGAGTAGACTGTAAAATAGAACCTGATGCAAACATGGCAAGCTCCGAACAAGCTCCCCTTGGTTCACTTGATCCAAGCAAATAGAGCAAGTTAGTTCATCCTCTGAAGCCTTCATATTCCCATCAGCCTTTTTACAATCTTGCTTTTGCTGCAACATATAATCGGGACTTAGACTACAAAAACCATCCATGAAGTAGTTAATATGAAATGATTCAGAAGAATGCAGAGGAACAGACAAGTTTGTCTTAAACACTTTAATTCCTCTCTGATCATGTCAATTTTGTATAGGCGACGTACATTTTTCTTGAAAAGTAGAAATTTTATTACTGAAAGGGAAGATACACCCATTGCTAGGGGACTTAAAAAACCTCCCTAGACCTAAATGGAGGAAAAAGAGTGCACCCTAGCAATGACCCAAGGAATAAAGACGACCCAAACGAGAACACAAAATAAGACCACACCAGAGAACAGTCCCATCTCCAACCATAGGTGATGTACATGATAACTTGTTATGCTGCCAAGATCTTATTTAAAACATGCAAACCTTCATAAAAAAACCTCCTGCAACTAAGAAATAGAATGAGCAATTGCAGAAGGAATTTATATTTACCAATACCTCAACTGGAACTGACGAAGATGATGCCTGTTGCATTGATGACCCAGCACTGTAAAAATAACAAGATCAATTAAAGCAAATATGAATTTGGTGGCAAGAAAATAACCTAACCCAGATGCTTAGTTCACAACAAAAACAACCTATAGGTAGTGAAATCTTGAGTATGTAAACAGAAGCATGTGTGCATACCTGTCGTGACCATGGACCTTGTACTTGTGCACGGGTAAAGCATGTATATCTTCCTCACTCATTGAATGACTTGTGGAAGTGTTATCAGAATCTAATGCTCTCAGGGTGTCATAATCTGTAGAAGAAAGGAAGTAATAATCTTCAAAACAAAAACAGCGAACAAATAACAACGAAAGCCCTTTTCTTATTAATCAGTGCATGCTAAAAATAAATCACAGAATCATATTAGGGAATTTTGAAAAAGCACCATACCTAGGGCATCGAATTCACGATCAAGAAGGGAAAGTTGGAGTCTTAATCCTTGCAAGCGTCCTCTTGTAGCAAAAGCTATTGATGGTGGCATGTGCAAACGCAACTCGGTATGGCCAAGCAATCCACTAGCAGCTGCAGCGTGAGCTTGAGCCTGAGCCTGAGCTTGAAGTTGCTGACAAGTTGCATACATCCTAAGGCTAGTAGCCATTAAAAAGATGCCCACTACTAGCCAAAGCTGCAGGCACATTCAGGTATACAAACATGATGTATTAATAACCAGCATGCTCCCAGTAATTCAAGTGAATGTGTATCGTGTACGTACCAGAAAGTTTGGAGACATTTGCTGAGAGTTTAAAATAATGAATAGCAAAAGAACTGCCAAAAACAAATGAGTAAGAACTGAATAGAAATACAAATTAAAAGGAAAATAATGAATCATTTAGATACAAAAACAACAGATGCAATGGAAGAAAACATATGAAACTAGAAATATTACCAGTAACAAAGAACGTCAGTGAATTGGAGTTAACTGGTCGAGATGCATGTATACGCTGTAAAAAGAAAAGCACAATAACAGATCAAGGCCCATTAGACAGTATTAGAAGATCTTGCAAACCAAGAAGTGTACAGATGTGGATAAGCAAACATACCACGGCAGGTTGTTCATGAATAAATCCTGAAAACCCACTCTCAATATCTCCTCTGTTCCCTCGGAAAACAAAACTCATTGTTGCAAAAACTCAGAAGTTCTGCTTGTCTAAAAGATGATGATGCTAGGCAAATAGCTTCTTATATTTAAACCTTTAAATCCTATATCATTTCAAAGGACCAAGAATCACGATTAAAATTCGTTACTATATAAATCTTAAAACTTCTTCAAGCTCCAAAGAGAAAGCAACTTAAAAGTTGGAATCCAACATGGGGAAAAAATAAAAACATAATTTTTCAGTGGAAACAGAATCATAGAAATCTGACTGCATATTAAAACATTCGATAACTAACCAACAAATTTATTAATTCAAGATGCATCCAAATTCCATTAAAGCTTAACAAATTTGACCCACTAATGCAACCCAATCGAAAATGTGTTTATAGCTTACACCACCATATCTATCTATATCACAGCTCCCATAGAAATAACACAGAAAGCCAATGCATCTAACGGTTTATGAACTGCAATGCTATTTGCCTTGTTAACTGCAAAGTAACACTATAATATTCTAGTTAACCTAAAATTTCTACAATCTCGGAAGCAAAGATTCAAAATTTATGATTTAAAATCCTTCCTCAGTCAATTACATGAATATTGTTAAAAAAATCAAGCAAAGATGGAGCAACCGCGAAATCTAGCAAAACGGTTTTTCAAAAAGGCATAAACATATTATTACCGTAACCTAAATTGCACTGTATGAATCAAAATATTAGGGGGATCAAAAATCGGCTTTCCAGGTCTTGTTTCGCGTATGAGTAATCGGAAGGGGGGGGGGAAGGCAAAAGAAAAATCTCAATATTTCCTCCGTTTTCTGAACAAACAAACAGAAATCCATACAAAAAAAAAACACAGCGGAAAAAGAATCACTTACACAAGGAAAACGAAGATCAGTCGATCAAATGGCCGTCCATTAAATTGCATAAAACGAGCAATTTCCAGAGAAAATAAAAAGAGAAAGAAGAGAGAACACGATAAAATTCTCTCCCTTTCGATTACGCGCTCTCTTATTTTGTCTAAAATTGAATTGTTCATAAAATTTTATTTATATTCTTCATCCGGTTTTTACGTTGAAAAGAAAAGCTTAAGATAGTGCGGCTTACATTAGATCTAACCGCTGCACGGCTAGTTGATAGCGTGAATGTCTTAATATCAGCCGTTGGATCTGGCACTGTGCCCATCGTGAGTATTCTTTTACCACTTATGTGACCGAATATTAATCTAACGATAAATTACAAATTTGGCAATGGAATTTTATTCTATCCTCTTTAAATTTTTTTAATTTTCTTATTAAACTTAATACAATAGAATTTTTTTTGTCACCCGACCATTCTTCACTAATAAAGTGTTCACGTGACTTTTTCTAATTATAAAACTTACCACACAAGATTTATAATATAAAAGTAAAAATATAATATATATATATTTGGGATTTATAAGAGTCAAAATTTCTAACATTAAAAATTTACAAAATAAAAAAGAGATTATCGAAGAAGATGAATTTTGAGTTAAACCCTATTCTAATATGCATGTGTGAAATTTCAATGGTGTTAAAGATAATAAGGTCTTACGACAATCGAGAGACAATTTTCAGTTGTAATAATTATGGTAATGGTGGCGTAGATCATATAATCTTTTTCAATGGTATGAGCCACCAATGACTCCTCATGCAAAGGTGTTTGTGGTTGAACTTCTAAAAAAAGAGATTTGTTTGAAGTTTTATTGTTATATATATATATATTTTTACCTTCATTTTATGTGAATGAAGGTTCAAGATGATTTTTTTTATAGCTTATGCAATTGATATTAAAATTCGATATTTTTGGTAGCTTATGCAATAGGTATTGAAGTTTGAGGATGGTTTATACCATAGGTAGTAAAGGTAGAAGCTGATTTTTATTGGTATTGTAGTTTTAGACATGACACTTTTATGTATGAAATTATGAAATGTTAGTTAATTGATGTGATCCTGTCTAGCACTAACTGTCTTCATGACATACTCACATCATTGAAGATCCATCAAGTTCAATCTAAGGGATTTTTACTTTACTTTATCTTAAATTTACTCATTTATGCAATATGTATTATTATGAGCATACATTTGCATATTAGACTATACTTGATTTATCAAAACATGAGCATTCATTCATTATGTCACATGGTTTGCATCATTGATTGATATTCAAGTATATAATCTATAGTTATAATAATAATTATTATTATCATATGATGCATGAGTTATTATTATAACCTATAGTATACATCTTTATCTTATACACATTAATATAGTTCATGTACTTAACTTATTCTTTATGTTATGTGTGTAGGTACATTCGGCCACAACTTGGGAGCTATCTTGAAGCTAAATGGTGAAAGCAACAGCAAGGAAACTTACATGGGGATGTTTAGGAGAGCATAAGAAACATTTGGTGAAAAGTTGTTCGGAGACCCATTATCTCATAGCTGGATTGAGCTGAAGATTTGAGCTACAAGATGACTTCAATTCAGTTAGGGAGATGCACCATCATCATAACCACTTAGGACACTTCAAATATGTCCTAAGTCAAATTTTGTGAAATCATACCTTTTCGCGAATAGTTTCCACCTCAAGAGGTACCTTTTCACAAGGAGCTGCCATAATGTTCATCATGCTACAACTCACCTATGGCCAGCTCACCTCCTGCTCATTCACCCTAGAACTAGCTCAAACATGAAAGGTTACCTTCCAACAATTGTGACCTTTCATGAATGATGCTTCCCATGAAGGTGCCCTTTCATCAAGGTGCGCGTTGGTGAAGAGATTGCATCCATTGGAGGCCTAAATCACCAAGAGACATGAGACAAAGCTCTATGCCTATTCGGCCACACCCACATGAGAGCTTTGGCGCCAATTTGAGGAGACACAACCCCATTCGACCAAGGGAGATGTCTTTGGCACCCAGATGAACAAGCATGACACCATTCGGCCAAGGGAGATGTATCTTCATCCTAGCCGAACCAACATGTCTCTTTTGAAGAGGTAGCCAAACCATCACCAAGCCAAAGGATTCATCCTTTCATCTCAAACATTATGTACTTTCTGTCGTAACCGATTTTCGTCCGGGCACGAATTTTTTACTTGGCGGGAAAAATAATGTAGATAAAAAATGATTTTTGATTTAAAAATATTTTGGGAGTCGCCATCGGCCTTTTGGGTCAGGTAGATCGAATACCTAAAAATTATCTTTTAAAAGAGCTTTTAAGAAAACATCAGTCAAAAGATAAACCGGTCTGTGTTTTAACCAAAATTCGTTCTTTTTAATAATAAAAAGGGATTCGTGGTCGGTTACGTTTAGGGAATGATTAGCACCCCTACAACGCCCAAAATTGGTACTTTATTAATTATAAATTGTCTCTATTATTGGAAATTTAAATATTCAAAAATATATTTAAGTCATAATTCTTTTATTTCAAATTTATTAATATATTTTTAAGAAAATCTATTAATATATATAAGATATTTATTTATTTAGAAATATCAGAAAAATGGCTTCTAGGTGTATCAAGACAGCTCTTTTATTAATATTAAATAAATAAATAATAAAACATTTATCTAAAAATAATTAAAATATTTATTTTAAAAATATCAGAAAATGGACATCCAGTTGTTTTAAGACTGCCCTTTCTTATTAAAAATAAATATTAAAATAAAACTAAAATAATATATATAATATATATATATAATTTAAAATATTTATGTAAAAATAATATATATATAATTTATAATAATAAAATATTTATTTAAAATATATCAGAAAATGGACATCTAGTTGCTTTAAGACTGCACTTTCTTAATATTGAAAATAAATATTATAAATGGTATTTCATATAAATATTAGTGAATAAAATATAAATAATGACAAACAAATATATAAATAAAGTACTAGTTTAAATATATTGAAAAATAAATTACAATATAGGAATAAAATAAAATTATATTAAATAATGACTAAAATGAAATAATTTAAAACTGTGGAATTAAATTATAAATTGAATGGTCAAAAATGAAAGTAATTATAATATTAGTGTTTAAAATGTAAAATATCAAATTTTAAAGACCTAGTTCGTAATATTGTAAAAATACAATTGCTAATAGTATAATTAACCCTTAATTACTTAAATGATGATTAAAATAAAGTTTATTAAATTTAAAGGCTCTAACTCAAATAGATAAATAAATCTAAGTGCTAATAAAATAATTCAGCCTTATTTAATTAATTCGGGTCAAAATATAAATTATTAAAATTAAAAGGGACTAATATGGTTATTTATCATAAATATATATATATATATATACATAGGTATTGACTATAGTATAAATTAATTAAAATTCAAAGACCGAATTAAAATAATTAAAAATAATTCAAAGACCGTCAATGTTGGCCGGAAAATTACATTAGTACCTCAAATTGAAGCCCGAAATTCCCTAAATCCAAATTCGAGGATATTTTAGCTTAGATCACTACCAAAACGTTTAGATCTAAGGTTCTTTACCTTCGACCTTTCGGTTTCAAAGACGTAGGGAGGCTCCGATAATAGCAGTTCCTTGGTAAGTCTCATTTCCTCTTCTCCTTCTTTATTTGGCTGCTGTTGGGTGTTGTTGTTGCTTGTTTTCTGTCGTGGTTGCTTGTCTCCTTTTTTCTGGTTTCTGTCTCCTCTCTTTCTCTTTGTCTTTTTTTTTACAGGTGAGTCGAGGCTTTTATAGCCTCGACGAAACGCTCCTCGGACCGGTCACAGAAGGGTTTCTCGGTGAGTCACCATAACTATGGTGGTGACTCACCATAGAGCTCGACGTGGGGCGATGATGAGGCGCTTCTGGAGGCTTCAATGGGACGTGGCAGAAGCTGGAACGTTGGCTTGGAGATAACAGAGGCGGCCGTAGTTCCTTTGGTCCAAGGCTGCGGCTGGGACGTGGCAGCAAAGCTTCTGGAGTCTTCTGGAGAGGGCGACGGCAGCTGGAACGTCGTTGTGGCTACAACAGAGGCGGCGATGTGGCCCTAGGGTGATGATACCCTAGGGTTTCCTGCTTGGGATCATCTGGACCGTTGGATCATAGCCAGATCCAACGGCTGTGATGCTGGTGGCAAACTGCTGAGATGAGAGAAACCCTAGAGTTTAGGGTTACTGTTGGGTCTCTACTTGGGTCTGGAATTGTAACTGGGCCTCCAGATTTGTAAAATGGGCCACCAGGATCTGGTTGTAAAGAAGCCTTCGGGTCTTGTAATTTTTGTTAAATAATAATAATAATATATAATAATAATACTAATAATAATAATAATAATTTTAATAATAATAATAATAAAACGAAATGAAAAAATTAGTATTTACAGCTGCCCCTCTTTGCTCATTCTTGTGTTAACAAGAATAGAGCAAAGACGAAAAAAACAATAATTTTTTCATTTAGCTTCTTTTGAGTAGGATGGAAATGTTAAAAACATCATGCACTAAAGGGCTTACAGATGACCCTAAGGTTTTGAAAATATCAAAAAGATCCCGAAGGCTTTTTTGAAAACATCATGCACTGTAGGACTTACAGATGACCCTAAGGTTTTGAAAATATCAAAAAGCTCCCGAAGGCTTTTTGGAAACATCATGCACTGTAGGACTTATAGATGACCCTAAGGCTTTGAAAACATCAAAAAAGCTCCCGAAGGCTTTTTGGAAACATCATGCACTGTAGGACCTATAGATGACCCTAAGGCTTTGAAAACATCAAAAAGCTCCCGAAGGCTTTTTGGAAACATCATGCACTGTAGGACTTACAGATGACCCTAAGGCTTTGAAAACATCAAAGAGCTCCTGAAGGCTTTTTGGAAACATCATGCACTGTAGGACTTAAGAATGACCCTAAGGCTTTGAAAACATCAAAAAACTCTCGAAGGCTTTTTGGAAACATCATGCACTGTAGGACTTACATATGACCCTAAGTCTTTGAAAACATCAAAAAGCTCCTGAAGGCTTTTTGGAAACATCATGTACT